CTCAAGCACCAACCCACCCACTTCACACTCATACTCAACCTAACAACCCACCCAGACTTATGAAACAAACAGTTTTCACAAACAGAAACTATACCACTAACATACTCATAGAACCAGATCTAGCCACAACAGAAACACTAAATAGATGCAAGAAACAAATACACACTACAATCACAAATAACTACATAGACAATCTACCAAACAATGCTGTACTTTCGGCACCAGCACCAGCCATAGACCCTTCAGAAACCCAATTACCCAGACACACACGCCGAGCAATTGGACAACTCCGTACAAACAAGTCCCCCCTACTACACCAATACCTACACAAGATAGATCCAGCCACACATCCGTCCCATCTTTGTCCACTCTGTCTCAGACATGAACACAACACCTGCCACCTGTTCGGCTGCTCGGAACTGGTCACGCCCTTGTCGCCCCTGGTTTTGTGGAACTCTCCCATCGAGGCGGCGGGGCTGTTGGCGCGCTGGGGAGAGAGGTTGGGCTGGCCACAGGAATGGGTGTAGGCCCCGTCCCGCATTTGTCGCGGGACGGGGAGGGCGAACAACAACAGCAACAATGTGCTGCTTTGCCGATAAAATGTGGGTAATATAACACAGGTCGGACCGTACGAACTAAGAGGTTTGATGATCATGATACCCTATTTTATATTCTATGACTAATCAACTTTCCTGCGTTTCTAACTCTGTAATTGTACGTATATATCATGAGATAGGTGTTTATAAACATCATAAAGGGTTCTTTGGTTAGCATTATCATGAGATATTCTCATCATACAAAAATAGCATGAGTAGATATTGTTCTGAACTCTAAAAAAATCTACTTAAAAATTTACCCAAATGCAAATTCAGCTTCATCCGGACAGGATAGGTAAGGTCCAATTCTGTCCGGCTATTGTTCGAAACTCGTTTATATATATATATATATTATTGAAAAGTGGGGTTATTGTACGACACGTTTGTTAAGAGTTCCCGAAAACCGTGTCGCGGTATTGTTCGATCAAAATGTCACTCATACTTTCGACAATAGCGCGACATTTTTGGCATATTGCGCGACAAAATGTCGCGCAATTACTGTCTCGGAATGTACCAATGTCGTAGAATCTACTTATGATTAGTATTTGCTAATAGTGCGACACGAAAAAAAGATGAACGGTATTATGCGACATGCTAATTAACGAAAATCTCGTTAGGTTAGTGTTGGACATTGGGTTAGAGGTGTGAAAAATGTATTTTTAGACACTTTTTTACAATTTTTTCTAAGGTTAAGTCCAGCTAGGAAAGGTTCTTTTACCTTAAATAACTAATTGAAAAACGTCGACTAATAACTGCCGCGGTATTACCAAGTTATATTTATATTCGACTCAGTGAAAAAACGAATATGAAGATTATTAATAAAAACATGCTCCAGTCTTCAATGAAACTTGCATATATATAAATATATGTTTTTAAAGCAATGATACCAGAAAGACGATTCGATAAATGGGCTCAGTAACTTAGAGATCACCTCTCCTTAGTTTGATCGCAATTTGATGCCATTACCCATCTTAAGGGGACCGGCTACCCTAAAATTTTCAATTTTGGCGTTTTCCGGTTTTTGTGCTCATCGTAAAGCTTACTTTCTGACGCATCGAACGGTACCAGAATCATCCCTCTACGTCGAAACTTGATTTCGTGACAGCTCCCCAAAGGGGGGCGGTTTTTAGGGCCCTTCAGTAAACTCTATGGAATTAAATACAAGGCTGGACACACTAAAAAGGAACGTATGACGTAAAGCGGCCAATCATGGCATTATCCGGTGCTTATACTCATCTTAAAGCTTACTTTCTGACGCATCGATTGGTAGCAGAACCATCTTTCTTCCTCCATTTTTACGTACACCACGCCCCATGGAACCGGGGGCGGTGGGGGGCGGCCTTAACAAATTGCTAAGGCCGTAATTACGGGCGTGACTTCATATACTGCCAGCTGCAGCCAGATCTTTCAGTGCCCATCATGACAGCGAGGTGAGAGGTGTGCAGCCAGTCGCTCTATGCCTCCCTGACTTGGTTTGAGGCTTAATTACGGTATCTTGGCTACGTTACGACTCTTTTACGTCCCTTTACGTGCCGCGCGCCAGTTTTTTTGGGCGTGGTGAACACCGCCTACTGCTCTCACGGCAAACCTATCTCCTCCTACAGTTTTCAAGCTACAGCAATGAGACATATACCATTCGATTCGTAAAGACCATACCTATCGATTGTCACATCACTTTTTTGAATTTCTGTCTGGTTCGTTTTTTATATGGGGGAGAAGTGGGGGGAGAAGGAAAAATGAGAAAAATTGGGAAAAAACGCCATAAAAAAAACTTTGTGGAAAATGAAAAAAGTGATGTGAGAGTCGATAGGTATGGTCTTTACGAATCGAATGATAGATGTCTCGATGTTTTAGGATGATATTTGTAGGAGGAGATTTCTAAAGTACCCCTTTTTAGCCGTTTTCTATGAATTTCACGTTTTCTATCAATTTTTTCGAAAAATTCATATGAGCAAAATGTTCTTATTTTTACATTTTGCGTATGTATGTGAAGTTTCATGATGATCGGATAATAACTGTAGAAGTTTTTCCGGAGGGTAGCCGGTCCTCTTAAGTCCAACTTCGATACAAACATTGATGCTCCTTCTCAACACAGAAAACGGTCCATACATTCACATTGGAGCCAGCAAAGCCCAAATTGTATCCAATAATTGAATGTCGTCATGAGCATGACATCGTTCACTGACACACGCCTCCTGCGCGGCGGCATCAAGCGAACTCTACTTGTGGTCTCTATGACTCTCCTGGTCACCATCACGCTCGTGATTTTTATGGACACGTGAGTAACTTCTTAAAGATACTGTTTATTTAAATAAATTTAGCACAGATGGTTTGAAAAATTTTTTGAAAAAAACTACGAAATCAAACTAGCATACTCTTTACAGAAGGACTTAGGCGAATTAAAATTCCAAGCTTTCGTTGCATCTAGTGAAATTTAGAATTGAGGATTCACTCTATCGATTCATTTCCTGATTCTGAAGCTACCTATTCCACCCAAATATCCAATTGTAAAAATAGCACGCTCTTATACAAAAATGAATAGAATGTGTTACTTAATTATCATTTCAATCATGACATTTTGTTCAATAAGCATTTAGGTGCAAGCTTGACTAGCATTAAACATAATTCGCTCATAATGTACATAAATTTACGAGTAGCAGCAGTTTTCAAAATTAAGCCAACATTTTTCTTACAGATGATTGCCTTAATTTTTCAGATTCCTGCTGAAGTCCTTGCTAAAACGTCAATTTTTAGGTTAGTTTTCCTGTTAACTATCGACTAAAATATCAAATTATTGCATACAATGTAACCCAACAAACATACAACATGAAGTTAGGAGAGATTTTGCTAAAAAAGATTTGGTTTAGCTCGCTCAATTTGAGCCCAAAATATTTTCTATTTTCTAAAACATAGATTTGAATAATACTCAATCTTTTTTTATAGCTGACCACCCATATCGCCTGGGGTATCAGACGTCCGACCATCGCGTTGAAGCGAAAACTCCTGTCGCAGAGGAGCATAATACTTCCTCTAACAATTCCACCCTGAAACCAATTCTGGACTGGCACAATTTTTTCGAGTACATAGAAAAGGCGGCTGGTTGTAGTAAAATTGTGAGTAGAAAGCTAGCTTTCCTATGCTAACAATATATTTACGTTCATAAGGTCAACAAACTTCTCTTTTCTCGCGATGTTGTTTTTGATGATCGAGGGTGACCAAAGTACAGAGAAATCATGCTATTGACAGCGATTACATCATAAGATCAACAGTTTCAACTTCAATCTAAACCACAATCGACGCTATTCACGGATTGCACTCTCGCCTTTCTGAAATAAGATTAATGACATCAATTTTGAGATTGCACAATTTTTTACCAGAGAAGAAGTAAATATTTTAAAAATAAACTAAGCGTCATTCACACTTGCAGGAAATGATCGGAGACCAACCAAATGAAGGAACCACTGTTTTGGACGGCGTTAAGGCAGTTTGTTTGGACGACAAAGTCTCTCCCACACCCGGCTCCTGCATCGTACTTTCCTTCGGCATGGGCAACGAGTGGAGCTTTGAGGAGGCCATGGCGGAATACGGCTGCAAGGTGAGGATAGTTTCAGAAGAGGTTTCCCTGTGCGAATATGCAAAATTACGCTACCCTGATGTCTCGAGCACAAAAAGAAATATTAGCTAATTGCACGGTTGGCCTAATGGTCCCAATTGAACGTATAAATATGGTACAAAATTATTGCTGGTTCTTAAAATGAATTTATTTATCTGTATGCATAGCACTTCGAGAGAGTTCAAAGCACTTGCATGGGTGCCGTCGGGGGAATGCGCGTCGTTTGTTAAGAATGGCTTTTAGTTTTGACGCGCGTAAATCAACTACAGACTGCGTTATATTTGTTAACAAAGATCATTTAACATTTGAAATGTTGGTAAACGAATGTATCATACGTCTTACTCACCATCGATGGTCTTTTAAAGAAAAACATATGTATCGCCCTTGGCATGTGCTGCGTTCATAAACAGATGACTCTCATCTCGGAACATGTGAACTTTAAATGCTTTGCGCTCATTAACAATTTTCTTGTACCAGCGTTTATCGTCCTGAATAAACCTATTTTTGTTTGCAATTATTGTGTCTGAACAATATTATCAATATCAATTCCCAAGCAGGTGTACGCGTTTGACCCCACCATTGGGCAGCCAGCCCGCCTCAGTGGTCAAGACATCCACTTCCGCCCATTGGGCTTGGGGGGCGTAACTGGAGTTGCGTCGTTCCATGGAACTGAAATACCGGTAATCGAGATCTGTATCAAGAAGACGCATGCAGATTAATGACATTAGCGTGACAAATTAGCCGCTCTACTGGGTTTAGCCGCTAATTTTAGAGGTGAATCAGGTGTGAAGAGCCCACAATTTTTCGTTCCAATTTATGTCGCTCCGGAAGACATGGAGTCGATTTAGAGGTGTATTAGGTGCGAATCGGATCGGCCACTTACTGTATTCGGCTGCTATTTAGCGTTTCCTTTCGGAAGACGATTACCCTTTGGGCTGAATCTGTGTAATTGAACCGAAAAAAGCAGGTGCTAAGGCTGCCTCATGATGGCCCTTGTCGGACGCTGGTCAGGCTACCTTGGGATGGTCCTGCTCAGAGTGGGGGCAGTGGTTAACTGTGCGAACGATGATCATCTCCCGATTTATAAATGGCGTCTATGAATGTACAGTTGTACACGCCGTTTTCTCTTGCCACCATCCCGCACCCCTGCCGCAGTCCAGTAATGCCTCAACACATTACAAATGGTTAAAAAGGAATGTTGTATTGAGTAGCCATTGCTTTTCATAAGATCTGTACGACTTGAAAACAATTTAGTTATAAAGATCATTGCACTTGTACACGTTGAACAGAAAAAATGGACATTTAAAGTGCTTGTGGAAGTGCTCCATTGATTCCAAACTGCATGAAGATCACGATTCTGCAAGCCAGCGAAGTTAATTTTCCTACAATAGAAATGTTCAATTTTTGGCATACGTCTGCATGAGCGGCTATGAAAGTAGCTCCTGCAGAAATGCTCATACTTGAAATTTCCAAACAACACGACAGCTTTAGTGAAGATTGCTCATGAACGTTCTCGCTGCCATGTCGTGTGGGTGTTGACTATCGCATACCAGTAGAATGTATTGGAACTGGATAAAAAGCAACTTATTTGAATTCCCGGTTTCCCATAACTGTCGTATATTCCCCAATATTCTTTATTCTTTTGGATCAGTTACTGCAGTAACTTGATTGAAAGCTTAGTAACAGCTAAGAGCAGATCTGCAAGAACTGCCTACAACATTTCAAGGAGACATTTGCCCGAAGCTGAACATTTCTATTGTTGAATAAATTTTTAGTTCGTGAGCTTGCACAAGTAATCGTCACGCAATTTGGAATGAATGAAATAATTCCAAAGCATTCTACATTGAAGAAGCATTTTTTCCTCTTGAACGTCTTGAAAAACAAAGTCATATACACCAAATTGTTCTCAACTTGTATATCTAAGTGAAAGAGAAAAAACTATTCTAGTGAAAAGTTTTACAAGATTGACGCCACCTAAATGCTTCACTATTAGAATTATTCTACTGACGCATTTCTGACTAGCGGCAGCGGCTACTGTTTCGCCTAATAGGGGAGCGTCTGCCCAAAAAAATCTGGGATATCAACTGACGGATCGATTCAAAATTTGGTACACGTATGTAACACGGAATTCTTTTTTTTTGCTCCTGTGAATTTTTTGAAAAAATGAAAGAAAACGTGAAATTCCTAGAAAACGGCCAAAAAAGGGGTAATGTAGAAATCTATCTCCTCCTAGGATTTTCAAGCTACAAAATCGAGACACAGATCATTCGATGCGTGAAGACCATATCTACAACTGGAGGAAAGGGTTTTTTAATTTCTCATTTTTGTGAGTGTGGGGGCATTTTTTCCGAAATGTTTCGAAATTTTCCAATTTCATCCCCGCCCGCTCCCCTTTTTGCAAAATAAAATCCGAACTATAACGAAATTGGAAAAAAGCCTCCCTCCAGTTGTAGATATTTTATTTGCAAATCGAACGGTATATGTCTCATTGATGTAGCTTCAAAACTCTAGGAGGAGATAGGTTTGCAGGGACAATAAGTTAACTTTTCAGTAGGGCCCGACAATGTCGCGCGCGCCTCGAAAAAGACATTCAGGGGTGCAAGGTTGCAAGACTAAACGATATTTGAGCTCAATTTCTGTCAAGGATGGTGTGAACGACGGCACGAGAACCATCCCATACGACTGCAGACGGATAACTTAAGCACAGAGTATTCAGACTAGCTATTTAAGTGTGCTACTGGTAATTTAGGCCTATATTTAATGTTGAAGAACTCCACCACCCCTAACACTTTCGCGCCCTGACGTAAACGCATAAATCAACGTACAGAGATGGTTTTGGTACCGTTAGATGCATCAGAATGTAAGCTTTAAGATTAGCATAATAACCGAAAAAGTCAAAATTTTCGATTTTGGGGCAGACGCTCCCCTTAATTGGGTGCAAGGGGCGGCATGCATTCCCCCTCCTGCTGCATCTGAACGTGTAGGACTTTGGGCGCTTCATTTTCGACATGTGCTCTTGAAGCATTGAAGCATTTTAAAGGTGTTTGTTGAATCTTCGGCGTTATTGGAGGTGTAATTATCGCGTAGATCACGACTGTTTCACCTATCGCGTAGATTCAATTTCTTTAGCCGGCAACTGTAGTAAAATCTGTTCTAGTGTTACTTCCTCTTCTTTATTAGGCGACCTCTTGGAGTTTCTGCAAAAATTGAATGGAGTGAATAGATTGAGTGAAGAAAGTCGTGTTGCCTAAATCTTTCTGTATCTTCTTTATGTTTTCCGAATATTCATCGATTTTTAAACGCAATTTTTAACTACTCACTGTTTCTTTGCATCCATGTTTCTATGCACATCCCACAAGGGTGGTAAACCACGATACACCTCATTGAATTTATCAATAAATCTATTCCTGGTTTTCACGTTATACATGAAAATAAAACGTGGCTGACGAGTTCATCCCACGGCTAGAGGGCAACTGGCAAAATATTGAGCAAAGGACGGCTTAATAATATTTGATTTGCTCAATTCACTTACAAAAGTTTGAAATCACGCAATACATAACACCAATTTCTATTATTACCTACAAACGATCAATTATCAAGCTAAAAAATCTGTATTGCGCAGTAATATAGATCGTCTAAGAGCGCTTTTAATTCTTGTTTCGTTCCAACGCATAACTTTAGGAACGTCCACATGCACAAGCATTGTTTGCGTTTAAAGGGCAGTGCATGGCTTGTCATGCTCACTCTAACACCTCAGCCTGCGTCTGAACAGAGTTAGCATGGGGTTCAGCCGCTTATTTAGGGTGCCATTCGACTCTTGTACTTTTGTTCAAAAATCTATCCTGAAAGCTTTTAATTAGCGGCAGAATGTAATATGTAGCCAATACGCCCTGAATCGTCTTTAAGCCGAATGTAGCAAGCCTCTACAGCATTTAAGAGGTATCCGAAGAAAGATTGGGTACTTGGTCAAGCCGCTTCCAAATTTATTCTGATTAACAATCATAACGAATGAGAGATTCGAATATGCTCATCATCACGTATTTCAGCATAGAATATAAGCTCGTTCATGTGTGAGTGTTTTTCTTCCATTTCAGCTGAGCTCATTTGGAAAGAATCCCACACTGGTTGATTGAAAGTTTTAAGTCTTTTAATAAAAATTAAAATATGAGAGAAACCTATAAGCAGTTTTTTTCACTGTATGTACACTCATAATTAACTGTGCGCTTTATCGCTTCTCTCTTGAACGGTAGATTCTGAATGAAAGCAAATAATTGTAGCTAACTGGTGAATAATATAAACAGTACTTTTTTCTCAGTCAAAAGGTTCGATTGCGCCGCATCAGACCTGTTATCACATTCATGGCATGCCCCCAACAGTGACCGCCTTGCATGCCTATGATCATAACTCAATTTCTGACGAGCTCGACTCAATGGTTACTTGTGTTTCACGCATAGCTTTCCTGTTAAACAGATAATTATAATCGATCGAGTCAGGCTTATCATGCTATTACATTTCTCGTAGTGTTAAAAACTGTTAATCTAACTTAAAATTGTATTACTCATTTGATATATTTTGAGCTCTACATTATTGTACAGGTATGCACATATCGGGATATTTTGAAGTTGATCGACTTGGAGAAGAGCGTCATTGACTACCTCAGGATCGACATCGAGGGCTTCGAGGTGGATTTTTTTCGCAACATCCTTAACGACGATGTCGAACTTCTGGCCAACATCAAGCAGATCGGCATGGAGATCCATCCACGTAAGAGATGTAAAAAGTAATAAGGTCAAAAAGAGATAGTTGGATCAAAGCCGAATATTCAAGTGACCGACCGAGAAATTTCACGAAGTGATATGAATTTATGTGAAGATTTATCCACAGATCAATTGTCGTTTTGGAAAAAAAGAGTATTGATTCAAAATAAATTCAATAACCTTAAGTAAACTTTCCTTCATTCAAAAATTACATTTGCGTTGCCTTGTGCAGTGGCGTCAGAGACCCTGAGAGACCTTATGTGGAGCCAAATTCGTCAGCTACGAAGCCTGCATTTCTCACAGGTGTCCAGTTTACCAAACATGGGCTGGACTTATACCTTTGAGAACAAAACTGGTTCTGCATTTTATGAAATGCTTTGGGTTAATGAAAAGTTCCGGTAGTAGTTTTGGTTTCCAGTGAGTATAAATATCTTCGGTGGCAACGTGTTACGAGTTCGAACTTTCAAAATGGGTTTCCTTGCGGCATCTAAACTTTTTGTGAGTAAATTAATTTTTTTGGTAGGCTTTCTACCAGCAGATAAGTCTCGTCGACCTTGGCAGGTAGCTCATTTAGAATTACAAAACTCCGATTTCAAACCTCCTCTTCCGCGCGACCTACCCTCTTATGTGAAACGCCGAAGGAAAAAATCATGACAGACAATAGGGAGCAGCAGCACCTAAGGCGGTTTGAACTGAAACCTCAGCACCGACAACTTCTGCGGCGGTGTTAATAGCAAACGGTATTGATTTCGTCTTTCTTTTGGCTTCTTTGGCTGTGAAGAGTGGAGGCCACTGCTGAATGAGTACATTCAAGGAGTAACGTCATCGCTTCCGCCTGTCACGGTGGACGGCGGCCGACGAAGAATTTTATGCTTACAATTTATTTATTCAGCAAACATGATTGCATAGCAATTTTCACAGGACGAACGATGCAGATTTCTTGCCAATGGGGTGCTTGATATCAGGACAGTATAAACACTTTACAGTACAACAATTTATAACCATCATATTGATAATTTACATAAATGCGTTGGAACCCTATAATGAAAGATTTTATCTATTTTCCAAATTAGAAGATTCGATCAAACTTTCGCATACTAATTTACCATTGTTACTAAACATTCGTGTCTATGTTTGCACCTATGAAAATCTGACAAGTTTTTTAATGACACAGTTGTTGTCCGCACCTCGTCCATTCCTATTGATAAATAATTTATAAACAAATTTTTGAACACCTTAGTTTTCATTATTACCTCTGTCCTTATTTGGGACTTTTTGTAGATGAACATCCGTAGTAAAGTTCCATCAACAATTTTGCAAATTAATTACACTCCATATTCAACTATTTTGAAACTAAAACAAAATTTTTAACATCAAGTCTAACTTCCAGTGATACCAAAGTTTCATTACAAAAATGAGAAAAGTCAACAAATTTCCCTTTAAATTAGAAATATAAATCAAGAAGAATAAATTTCCATCCAAAATGCATCCCTTACCACCACATTCGTCGTTCTGACGCAAAACATAGTTTCCAGCGCTTGCAGCAGAGATTAAAATCTTCAGATTTATCCACTGCTGTGTTGCTCCAGCACGCGTATTGCTTCATTTAACAACATGAAAAAGGAATTTGAAGACATAGAAGAGGGCACAGAAATTTATCATATCATTATGAAGTTAAACATTTCGGAGTCCAGCTCCATCGCCAGTTCGACAACCTAAAATAAAATACTATCATTGTATTATACAATTAAAATCACTTGTTTGCTTAAATCGCAAGTTAACCAGGAATTTAAAAGCAAAAACAATACCACAAAAATTCACCATATCTTTATAAGAGAAAACATTTCGGAGTCCAGCTCCATAGTCAGTTCACAAAATTCAGTTCAGAAGAATTTCAGTCCTAGAAACACAAATACAATCAATTAGTAAAGTAAAAGGCACTGTTAGGTTTTTAAAACGGAGAATAAGTAAAAAAAACACGAAATTAACGCGAGTAAACGGCCGATCTATTTACTATTTCAAGAGAAACGGAGCTAAAAGCGGCATTTAGACTAGGCTTGTGCTTAAATATAAATAGGGGTTCTAAAATGCGTAGATCAATAACACCGGATGCGGAAGCTAGAGTTTTAAAATCAATATCGGATACAAAAGTGTTGCACTGCCCACTGCAGAATGAGGTGGATGTGCAAGTAGGTTCCTCGTCCTATAACTCCTGCCTTTATGCCCAGCCAGCCTAGTATAGAAATTGCGTAACGTCATACCGACGTACGCTGCTGCGCACTGCGCACAATTATATCTGTAGACTAGCCTACAGAAAACCTAACAGTGCCTTTTACTTTACTATACTAATTGACTGTATTTGTATTTCTAGGAGTGAACTTCTTCTGAACTGAATTTTGTGAACTGACGATGGAGCTGGACTCCGAAACGTTTTCTCTTATAAAGATATGGTGAATTTTTGTGGTATTGTTTTTGCTCATAAATTCCTGGTTAACTTGCGATTTAAGCAAACAAGTGATTTTAATACTTATATCCAATCAAAATACGGTGAAGATGAATACCGCTGTTTTAGAAAATACTGCGACCTACTCCGCAAAGCTGTGCAGACTTCATTGGACATAAATTTTTTAGTGAAATGCAAAGTGTACGGTGTAATTCCACAGTTTCTGAGGTTTTGACTTTACAAACGCTGCCCTCATACATCTTCATTTTACAAGTCATGGCAGAGCAAGCTCCTCGATCTGACGTCTAACTGAAGCATTCAAGAAAACTACCCGCCAGATCCATCAGAAGAAACTTGATAACTTAGGTATTCATAATGAAATTCATTTGCGTAATCCTGATGAAGTCGTTTCCAACTATAGTTCATACAGCCTGGAACCTCAAACCAAGTTCTGGCTCGCTTTGGGCTTGATTTCTGTCTGCCTGTTTTTAAATTGGATTTCTATAAGATTTTTTTAGCTTTTGAAAGACTTGTTCTTAGCATAAAAAATGTTTCTATTACCAACCATCAGGAATTTCTTGGCAATTTCCAAAGTTTTGCTTACCATCATTTTTATGGTTTTTAAACCTTACAATATTTTCTCATCTGCTTTTCAGCCGCTTGATTTCCTTTTATTGAAAGACTTGGCCAAAGATAAGGATATTAAAATTTGTAAGCCAGATGTAAAGGAGGTAGTATTAGTTGAGCGCAATCGTTATAACAGTAGCCTTACTAATCTGATCTCCGACCCTTCTAAATTTAAAGAAATTGTTGATCCAATCGCTAAAATAGTTTTGAAAATAGCGGACAAAATATTACGAAAACTTAAAGATTCCGCTGTACTATCATTTGAAACTTACTTTCAACTTCATGTTTCTGGCTCTGGCCCGGGTATTTTGTATGGTTTGCCCAAAATTCATAATCCAGATTTCAATATGAAATTTCAATTCCACCTAATTTTTGCTGCTTATAATACCCCTAGTTTCGAACTTGCAAAATTTTTGGTTCCACTTTGAACTGATTTGCGACCAAACAATATACTGTGGAAAACACTTTTAGGTTCGTAGATCGCTTGAAGAGTGTTACCAATGTTCAGGAATTAACTATGGCCTCTTTTGATGTAAAAAATTGATTCACCACCCAATTGGCATGGTGCTGTCTTCTGGATTTTAAGCCAATTTTCTATAACCGATAGGTTGATGATACCTTTTCGATTTTTTAAGCATCCTTCACATGTGGGCCTGTTCTTTGACTATCTTAATCTCCAACATCTCTAAGTCTACCAAGTTCAACATGGAGCTTGAATCAAACAATATTTTGTCTTTCCTTGATTGCAAAGTTACAAAATCTGATGGCCGTTTCCAAACTTCTGTTTTTAGAAAATCGACCTTTACCGGCTTAAGCATCGATATATGTCTTAATTCATTGTTTAAAGATGTCAATGACCTTGTCATTGGTTTTAGCCGCAATTTTTACAAATCTCTTCTTGAATTATTGTGCTAATCTCAATTTTTGTATTTGCTGGTAAATTTTACAGAAAATTTACGGTTTGGGCATGGGGCTTCCACTCGGCCCTACCTTTGCCAATATATTCATGTGTTTTCATGAGGCTATATGGTTGGCCAATTGTCCTCTGGATTTAAGCCAATTTTCTATAACCGATATGTTGATGATACCTTTTTGCTTTTTAAGCATCCGTCCTTCACATGTGGGCCTGTTCTTTGACTATCTTAATCTCCAACATAAGTCTATCAAATTCACCATGGAGCTTGAATCTAACAATATCTTGTCTTTCCTTGATTGCAAAGTTACAAAATCTGATGGCCGTTTCCAAACTTCTGTTTTTAGAAAATCGACCTTTACCGGCTTAAGCACCACCAGCTTTTTTAGCTTTTGTTCCTTTCGCTTCAAATTAAATTGGATCCAAGCATTGATAAACCGCGGCTTTCGCATTTGCTCTACTTTTCTAGCCATGCACTCTGAATTTGAATTGTTGCACAATATCTTTTCACAAAATGGCTTTCCCTCGCACCTGGTGTTTACCCAAATTAAAAAGTTTATGGCAAAGCAATATACTGCAGTTGTTCACATTTGTGACAAGAGGAAAGTTCTTCAATGTTTTTTCCCTACTTTGGGCCCGCATCTGAGGCTATGTCAAAGAATTAAAAGTTTTATTTGCTAAATAATCTTCCGGATGTAAATCTTCATGTGTTGCTAGTTAACAATTTTAGAATCAACTCGTTTTTCAGGTTTAACCTGAACCTACCTGTTCTTATGCGATCGTCACTAGTCTAAAGATATAGTTGTGCGCAGTGCGCATCAGCGTACGTCGGTATGACGTCACGCAATTTCTATACTAGGCAGGCTGAACATAAGGGCAGGAGTTATAGGACGGGAAACCTACTTGCACATCCACCTCATTCTGCTGTACGTGTTCATGCCATGCAGTGCAACACCTGTATCCGATAGTGATTTTAAAATTCTAGCTTCCGCATCCGGTGTTACTGATCTACGCATTTTAGAATCCCTATATATTCAAGCGGAAGCCTAGTCTTAATGCCGCTTTTAGCTCCCTTCCTCTTGAAATAGTAAATAGATAGGCCGTTTACTTGCGTTAATTTCATGACTTATACGTATATTTATTTGCCGTTTTAAAACCTAACAGTGCATTTTACTTTACTAATCGATTGTATTTGTGTTTCTAGGACTGAACTTCTTCTGAACTGAATTTTGTGAACTGACGATGGAGCTGGACTCCGAAACGTTTTCTTTTATAAAGATATGGCGAATTTTTGTGGTATTGTTTTTGCTTTTAAATTCCTGTATTATTCAAAATTAAAATGCATATATTGAAACCTAAAATTAAGGTATAAAACTCAAATCAACCCAAATAAGACAGCAAAACTTGCCTATCAGCTAACAATCTCAAATGGATGGGAACTGAGAGAGGAATTCAAACTAGGCTTCTGCTTGAAAATATAAAGGCTCTAAAATTCGTAAGGTAGAAAGACCGCTAGTAGAAGTTGATTTTTTGTAGTCGCTGTCGGGCACCGGAATACTGTACTTCTCGGCATGAATTCTAACTGCTGAATGAGGGGGATGTGCAAGTAAATTTCCTGCTCGATAACTCCTTCCTCTATGCTCAGCAACTCTAGAATAAAAGTTGCGTGACGTCATACCGACGTACGCTGATGCGCATTGCGCACAACTGATATTGTAAACCAGAGACGCTCGCATTAGTCACGGAGTGTATTTTTATACTTGAAAAAAAAGCTGATCTTGAAATCATTCACCAATCATATCCGGAAATGGACATTTAGAAAGTACTTCATGAATAAAACTTTCAAATATTTAGACATGGTTTGCAAATGCTGGGCCGAAACATGGGAATGAACAGTAAACAAAGTATCTATTTTCACATTGGGGAGCAACCTCAGTATCTTATCCAGGCATAAATTTCTTGATTTAATTAGTAAACATCATGTTAGACGTGAAC